GTATTGTGTATAGGATGTCAGAAATGGGTGCATAAGAGATGTAGTGGTGTGAGGGGGGCACTGAAAAAGGTGGAAGGCACGTTCAAATGTAAGAAATGTGTTCATGGTGTGATTAATAGGACGGACTTAAGGACGGGGTTGAGTGGTGGTATTGAAAGAGTGGAAAGCTTTGTTTACTTAGGGGATAAGCTGAACGCGGATGGAGGATGTTTGAGCGCAGTTACGGCTAGAGTTCGTGTGGGATGGATGAAATTTAGGGAACTGGATGGGGTATTGTGTGGAAAGAAATAATCAGTGAAGATGAAAGGGAGGGTATATAAAGCATGTGGGAGAGCAGCGATGGTATATGGTGGTGAAACTTGGGTGTTGAGGAGAGAGGAGGAAAGTGTACTGCAGAGGGCTAAAAGAGCTATGGTGAGGATGATGTGTGGGGTTAAAGTGAAGGATAGGAGGAGTAGTACAGAGCTGATGTCAATGATGGGACTGAATGAGGACATTGTGACATTGATAAGGAGATCGAGGTTGCGGTGGTATGGACATGTGTTGAGAAGGGATGAAAGGGTCGGTATTAGGCGAGCGTTGGAGTTCGAGGTTGAAGGAGTGGTAGGAAGGGGTCGTCCGCGATTGGGATGGAGAGAGAAGGTGGAGAAGGACAGGGTGAAAGCGGGGTTGCGTGATACTGAGGCGAGTGACAGATGTGGATGGCGTCGAGGGGTATTTCAGTTTCATCATAGATAACCAAACGGCAACCCCCGATCTCGGGGAAAATGTCGTCTAAACGTGTGTTGTTGGTCATATTAAACTTCCAATCACATTGCAGCTGCTTCCACAGATGCAGAATGCAATTATAAGGCAATCTCTCCCTCACTTAATCAGATTGTAAATTTCCTTGAAGCTCTCACAAATGCAGATAAGGATGGCAGGGTGCTCATTACTAACAAAGGTAAACTTTCCATTTGAGTGATTGTTGTTTGTTATTTTGATTTTTGTTTCAATTAATTTTTTTTAAATTTTGTTTCTGAAACAGTTTATTATGTTAATGTTGAGGATCGATCATGTTAAATAGTTTTTGTTACATTGTGGCCACTATTTAATTGTTTGTTGCGTTAGGCAAGTATTTAACTTTATATGTGTTCAATGTGTCATCCATAAAATATAAGATGGCATGGAGTTTTTTTATTTCAACTAGCTAGATTGTTTAAGTTTTATTTTTTTTTAGAACCAAATGTTAAATGATCATTACAACCAGGTAACATCAACCAATCAAGCATTAAGTTTCTCATGCTGAATCCATCAATCCACTTCAAAGAAGTCGTTGAGAAGGCTCGTGCGGTCATTATCGCCGGAGGCACCATGCATCCCGTTAGTAGTTGTGCGTGCGTGTAAGTGTTTGTTTGTGCGTGTGTATGTATGTGTTTGTTGTTATGTGTGTGTGTATGCGTTTGTTTGTGTGTGTGTACATGTAAGTGTTTGTTTGTGTGTGTATGTGTGAGCGTGTGGTGTGAACGTCAGGATTTATCATTAACTGTGTGTTGTGATTTTTTTTGTGTGTTGCTGATAAGTGTGCTGGTTTTTTAAATGCAGTTTTAGAGTTTATTTTCATTCATGCTAATTATTAAGATTTCAGATTTCAAAGAACAATTGCTTCTCTCAATCGGTGTAAAGCCAAACAAAATTGTCGAATACACTTGTGGTAAGTTCTGTATAATTTTGTATAATTTGTTCATATGCTCTATTCATGTTTTATTCATTTTCTAAGAACATGTAGAGCTAGAGATTTGTTTAATATCACATTCATTGATTCACCATTGATCCAATTCATCATTTACTTCTGAGAAATGTTTCCACTACGAACCACTAAAAAATTTGTTGTTCCTCAAACTAATGTTTTCTTAGCTGTTTTGACGACAAATTGTCTTATTGTATTTTATGGCATGAATGTTAAGACAGGTTAACACAATGAACATATTGGCTTAATCTTTGTAGTCTACATTTCATGGATAATGTTCATTTTTTCGTTGTAAAGTGTACCATCAGTTTGAATTGACCCTTGAGAATAAAATGCATTGTCTCATTCACTAGACCACATTATATCACGTGATCATCTGCTCACCATCACCATGGCCCATGGACCGTCTGGTCATCATCTTGACTTCACTTACAACAACAGAGGCTCAACTGATACAGTAAGGTTAAATTTTGAATGATATAAAATTCGTTTGTAACCTTATCCTAACTTTCAAAATGTTCGGTGTTTTGTGATGTTGACACCTATTGTTAACTAACTTGAAGAGATTAGCCAAATTTCAAACTTTTAGGAAATAAGCCATTAAATTGACGCTATTGAAACCTAAACAATTGCAGATAAAAGAATTGGGTCGAGTTGTGTACAATGCCTGCTACGTGGTTCCAGCTGGTGTCGTCTGTTTCTTCTCATCGTTCGAATACATGACTCAAGTGTTGGACTGCTGGAGGACTAATGGATTTATTGAGAAAATTGAAGCCAGAAAAATGGTTTAAACAAATTTGAAACTTGGTTTCATAATCTAAATATGTCTAAACACAAACTTATTTAAAATTAAATTGTTAAAATTAAAATTATTAAAATAAAATTATTTAAATCACTGATTTATACAGATTTATAAAGAGCCAAAGAAAGCAAGTGAAGTGGAGAAAGTTTTGGAGGAATACTCAAGCTTTATAAACGTAATGTAATTGTTTTTTTCTTGATTTGATCTGCAATGTGTTTCTTTGTTTAGAAAATAAACATTAGGTGATTATGAGTATAATAAACTAAAAATGGTAAAATAGGACTAAATTCTGCGAAATTAATTCAAAGAAATTGTTCACAGAGATGTCAATCACAACCAACAACTGCCAGGGCAGCCAGCTTTCAAGCATCGAATGAACCAATGGTAAAAGATGGGGCTATTATGTTCTGTGTGGTAGGTGGAAAAATGAGCGAGGGCATAAACTTTTCTGATAACATGGGGAGGTACCAGCCATTCTATATTTCAGTTATTAAATATGTTTCAAGCCGAATATTTAGAATAAAGGTCTATTTTTTTTAACAAATAAAGAGTTTGTGCAGTACACACATGTATGTTGTCAATGTGTAAAATATATACTATATACATTTAACTAATATATCATATCTCAATATTATACCTAAAAATTGATTTAAATATAAATCAAGTTAAAAATGTATTTATAAATCTTGCAGTTTTTGGCAAACTAATGAAATTAAGTATATATCCCATCTCACCCATTTATTTATCTATCCTGGCACAAGAAGCCATTTTACGTAATTGTTGAGAGTAATATTTCTTTGCAGGTGTGTTATAATGGTGGGTCTTCCGTACCCCAACCCAAATTCTGTCGAATTGAAAGAAAAAATGGATTACCTCAACAGCAATCAGGTTTGTTCAGTGTTATTGACCAAATTAAATTTACCGGTATGGTAAAATATACTTTAGCCTAAAAGTTTCATCTAGCTTTCGATGTTTTTTATCTGTTGTCAAATTTTTTTGATAGGCTTTATCAGTATATTATATAATTATTGGATGAGGACATGGTAGACTTCGATATGTAGAGTAGAATATATTTACAATATAATGTGTGTTACATTGAAATTTAAAATTATAGAAAAGATTTATTTGTCCTTAGAATTCGTCAAAGGCTGGTAAGCCATCAGGGCAGGCATATTACGAAAGTATTTGCATGAAAGCCATCAATCAAAGCATTGGTCAGTCATATCTAGTTTATCAAATTGCATATCTTTAATTTTCGTCAGAATCTATTGCACGTGTGTGTGTGTGCATCATTTTTATATAGCAGTCGTGAAATTTTACTTCGTTTAGTTCGTATTTATTGACAATTTTTAAGGTTCCCAGTTTGTTCTTCAAATTTTTGATTTTATAAAATAAAAGTTTATTGACAATCATAATCAGATAGAAATATGATTTGGTATTCTTTTGAAATTAAAATGGCATTACTACATTATGCATTGTTTGATGATAAAAACTGAACAGGTAGGGCCATACGGCACAAGAATGACTATGCCTGCATCTTATTGCTAGATCACCGATTCGCTGCAAAATCTGTTCTTTCCAAACTGCCTGCCTGGATTCAGGGATGTGTTCAAGTTCATGATAGATTCGGACCGGCATTAGCCAGCTTGAAAAAAGTATGCTAAATAAGTTTTATTCTAAAAGATTATAACTGATTTTATTAAGTTTAAAAAAATCATTTTCCAATTGCAGTTTTTCTACAACAAAAAAAGTGAGCAACCCGACCAGCCGCATAGAGCTTCAATCACGTGAACCATTCCGACTAAGTTTACATTGGATATCTTTTTGACAGCATCAAGCTCAAACTTAATTTTTTACTTATCTTTAAAAGTCTTTAAAAGCTTCTAAAACAACTTAATTGTGAAATGTACCAAACACTTTATTTTTTGTTGCAACACATCGCTTTAAATACAAAAATGATGTAAAATAAAAATAATAAAATAAACATTATGGATAACAGGAAAAATCAAATAATTTTTTTAGAAAATTTATTATGCAGGACATTCAACTTGCTTCAGTCTGAAAATAAATTCTAATAAATACATTTGTAATTGAATTTCGATCGGAACGACTGTCACAACAAAACCTGGAATGCCTGCTTTTTCAAGCATGCTCTGCTGGTCAATGATTTTCTGATCCAGTGTCTTGATTATGTACGTGTCCATCTTTTTCAATTCTTTTGCACAGTTCTCTTCAAATTCCTTTCATAACAAAAGTTTCAAGAACATAATTCATTGCCTACAAAAGCGGATCAAAAAATTATTAGACATTACCTGCATTTCTTTCTGGCAGCGGGCTTGTATATATGGCAACTCATGAGGCTTGTGGACGTTATCTTGAAGTAGATCTCTATGCTTCTTCTTCAAACTCTCTTTGCTAGCTGAAGGTAGTATGAGTTTATGTTGCTAAAAGATTTGAATGTACGGATGTTGAAATGAGTCCAAGAATTTTGAATGAGTTTTATAAGTTAATCTAATAATTTGTAGCTAAAGAGCTAATATAAGATAATGTAAGCCTATATCTTCCAAAAACACAACTATTGAAATTAGAAAATTTATTTATATTTTTTGAATAAATAAAGTTTATGATTTATGATTTGATTACCAATAATGTAAAATAGATACACACCTAATAAATTTATTCATAATAAGCTACTTAGCTACTTTAGCAAGATTTTGTGAAGATGGTTTAATAGTTATGACATGAACATTATGGTAATGCCACACATGCACATGTTTAAAAAAAATTAGTTCTGATAATGAGCACGGCAACGTAGCTCAAACACTTGAAAGAAAGAATAAAGTTTGGAGAATGACGAAATTGCTGATATGTCTGTTAAATGATAACATATGAATACCAAAGTTGAGATAATGCTTAAAGTATTTTTGCAGCTAATTTCAATATACATGTTGAATAGAAAATGGAAAAGTAAATAAAATTATAAAAAGTTAAATTATGATGAAATTAGTTGACAGAGATAAGAGTTGTCTAGTATAACTCTAAGCTTATGCCAATTTAAAATTGAAAGAGAATACATAATATGCGCGTCATCAATTATTTACAAATAAAGTGCGCAAATACGATTGAGCTACAGATAAAAAGTTTTGTTACAACTTAAACAGTACTTTTTTGCTCTTTGGTCAAGTTCAGTCGTTGATTAGATAAATTTCTTTCTTCCAACTGCTGAACTTCTTTAAGGCCTGCCACAATTTCAAACAATTGTGAATCGAGCAAAACTTTGGCCAGGTCAGAAAGTACATTATATGGAAGTCGTTGTTGATATTTCCTACAAATAAATCAATAAATACCAATGCATACGCAAATATGTATTCGTCTACGTGTAAGTGTAACTTATATGCAATAGATTCGTGATACAAAAATCATTAACAAGGCATTTATACAATAATCTTTGACTGAGTTTAAGTAAAATATTTTTGGTTTGCATTTTTTGCATGTTAATTTTCCTTTCCTTTTTCTGACTGAACAACTTCACTAATATTCTTTTGTTAGCTATTGCATAAAGATCCATCACTTTATATATCTCTTGTACACAACAACAAATTCAACGATTTTACAATCATTAAATTTGTACATTTACACCTTTGTACAGTCTCCTTTCCTACAGTCTTGACGGTAATAATAATAATAAATTACCATAAATTGTCAGTAATTGAATTTAAAACTTGTTTTATTAATTAATTTATTAATGTATTTCATTCATTTATTCTACATATTTTATATTCATACTCATTCATTTTTTTTATTTCTTTTCACCTTATTATTTATGTATTCTTTTCATCTTTTAACGTCTTGCATATAACAATAAATGAATCTTAAAAAATAAAATTATAAAATAGACGTAAAATAAACAACCGGTTTACATCAGTACAAATTCAATAGATCCACCAACAAACAACCATTAAATTTATGATTTATCAATAAAATAATGCTGCCTAATGCATGGTCGGTGAGTTAGCTCAGTCGGTAGAAGTGCCATGTCTCCTGCAGTTACACTTCACTTCATTTACATTTCAATCAAGTTGGCCAGATCAATAGGAATAATAAATAGAATAAAGTTTTATCTTCCAAAAAAATGTTGAAATCTTCTTTATAACGCCATCTGTCTGCCCCATGTATCATACTGCAACGTCATTTGGGCCAGTGCTTATCTATCAACTACCATTTCTGTAAAAGTTCTGATGAAAAGAGCAATGAGGATCATCACGCTTTGTCAAAAAGATGCTTACACACCTCAACTGTTCAAATTAACTAATAAATTAGATTTTGATAAATTAAATTTATATTTTACAGCCAATTTTGTATATAAACAACTTTCAAACAAACTTCCTTCTATTTTCAATAATTATTTTATTCGGATGAATAATTCCAGACGTCAATATAATAAATTAGCAAATAAATCAAAAGCATACACACTTTTTTCTCATCATTTGTAAAGGGCCAAGAATTTGGAATGCTTTTTTAAAACATGGTTTTCCATTCAATAAAATTAATGAAGCAAATTTTAAAAATAAATTGAAGATTTATTTGTTGAATAATGACATTGAATGTTAACTGTTGCTGATCGCTGAATGAACGGATGTATTTGTACATTTTTTGTTTATTTATTTTATTATCTATCGGTTTAATTTCTGTATACTAAATTGATTGCTTGATTGAGTAATTGGTTGATTGATTGGTTGATTGATTGATCTCATTGGAAAAGTTGCATCTAATTTACTTAGTAGAAAAAATCCACAGACATCAGTATATAGTTTTTATATATCAATTATTTACTGTGAGATCTACTATTCATGTCGTTCTATATATTGCTTAAATATTCAACACACGTTTAGACGACATTTTCCCCGAGATCGGAGGTTGCCGTTTGGCTACCTATGATGAAACCGAATGTCATAAATATTTTATTGGCTAATTTTTACGCAGGACGCCCTTCCTTACGCAACCACAGTTATAAGTTGTGGGCCTAGCCTTTGATGATCCAACATCACTCACAACCCTAACCAGAACATATTGCTTAAATATATACTATATAGATAATTATGTAATGTCTATCCCATGTTTTTCTGGATAGATACCAAACATTGTTATACATGAACCGTGAACCATCATACTAACAACTAACACCTGTTTTGCTAACATAGTTGAGTTTGTTAATTTACTAACAACTAACATCTAACATGCCTCTCATAGATCATTTAGGGAAAATTTTTATTATTTGCTGAAAATTTTTGTGTGAGCTTAGAACATTTCTGTTTAAGTGGCCATACGCGATGAATTTTATATAAATTCTATTATGGTCATCCTGCTTTCTTTTGATTTTTAATTTTGAGAAGCAAATAAAATTTCGTTTCATTTCGTTACGCAGTGGCCGGTTCGAATATAGTTGGTTGAAACTCAAAGACTATCATATGCCATGTGTATGTACATAGTGTCTTTTAATGGCATGAGGGTTTAAATACAAGGATGATATGTAAGCGGCCCTGCATATATCAGAACTGAAATTATTAAAATCAAGATTTTAAATCCAGGCAAAAAAATTTTCAAGATAAAATTTTAAGATACTGATTAAATTCTGGCAAGATCAGAGATGTCTCTTATGCAAAAAGAGTTTGTGACATTTTGAGTCACAAACTCTGTGTGTGAGTTTTGTAGGCTTCTTTTTTACTTTTAAAATATTTTTGTTTGCTAATGCCAACTAACACACTAACCGTGGTAGATCTTTAGCCATTTCTTGTAGATGATTTAAATAACAATAATGTCTATTTTGAAGTTCTTCTTTACTTTCCATTCCATTCCCATATGCATACATTATATTTTTATACTTTATTATCAATTATTAACTATTATATTATTTAATATTTTAATTGGGTGTGCAGTATTTATGTATTATATATGATACATGTTATTAAACCATCATCACCATTATTTAATTTTTAATTAATCAATATTAAAACTTTAATTTAATAATGTTTAATTTTTAATACTTTAATAATTAATTTTAATTACTCTGGGAGAGGAGCTTGTCATGTGTCTCTTTAAAATTAAGAAGCGGTTGACTGTTATAAATAAATAAATATTGCTGAGAAAACTAGTGTTGAATATCGCGGAAATAGCGCTTTATTAGTCAATCAATTAATCAATCAATTAGCATTGATTGATTAATTGATTGATTTTCTTATTTCACCTTAAAATTAATAAACGTTTGACGATTTGAACGTTCGCAAACTTTGCAACAATAAAGGAACACCAGCCCTATTTAATTACTTTTAAATTATAAACACCGAAAATGTGTTTACATTTAATGAAAGACTATAAATAAGAATGTAAACATTATAAATTATTTAAGTAGGTCAAGTATAACGTTTAAGTACGGATTCGTTTTCAGATATCGACGGAAAAGGTAAATAAATCTGAAATTGAAACATTTAAAGACGCCCTCACAAAATCAGCAAGGAAAGTTATACCTGTGGAAGAGCAAAGAAGAGGTCATAAATGGATAACAGATGACATCGTATTTCTGATGGATGAACGAAATATCCCTATATAAGCGGCGATGATGAGTAAAATCAAAATAAGGCATATACTCTTCACCTTGAACACCGACGATTTTCTTATTAATTTCAATAAATTGGATAATTATTATAAAATTACTGTCAGAAATCCAATCCAATTTCTATAGATTTAACTGGGCTCAACCCAAAATTCGTGAAGCGAACAATTATACAGATAATACAAAAACTAACAACAACAGAATAAATAACTTAAAAAATTAAAATGATATAAAATAACAATATAATAATAAAAAATTATGATAAAAAAAAGCATATACATAAAAATTCAATGAATATGCTCATGCTCTCTAGCATTTGATAACCCACTCACATGCATATATATATATATATATATATATATATATATATATATATATATATATATATATATATATATTTTTATTTGTTTATTCTTTATTTGTGTGATATATAATATTCTGTACATGCCGTATATATGTAAATATATATGTGTGTGTTTGTATGTATATGAATAATATTAACAAATGTAAATTCTCAACGTTGAACGTTCGTTGGAAACTTAATAGAACAAACGAAATTCTGGATGAGTTCGTATACTCACTGTATAGATCGCTCTTTGCTACAATTTATATAATAAGAAACGAAAAATGTTTCCGTCGTCTGGTTACTTCAAAGGATTCGTATGTCCATTTTTTGTGAGTGGATTGTGCGATCGCCCCAACTGCCATTACAGGCACGTTGAAGAAGAAAGACCATCTACTGCAGGTTCATTTCATTTTTTCTTTTTTAAATTCAATTTTTTATTGTTTTTATTAATTTATTTAATTTAATTTATCGATCTTTTTATTTTCTATTGTTTTTATTGCAAAATAATATATTATTTAAAAATTTTCATTATTGCTTCATCTTCATAACCTTTGAGAAATATAAAATTACGAAAATAGGAAATAAAAAACATGAAAAATGATTTAAAAAATAAAAAAACTCCACACCATTATCAATTTTTTTTTATACAAAAGTTAAGGCAACAACAATGATCAAACAAACAAAATGAATACGCATTATAAATGCTCCTTTCTCTTTCTGCTTTTTAGTTATGTTGTAAATTTAATCCAATTTCTAAAATATATAATTTTTGTTTTTTAATAAATAAATTCTTTTGCTCAAGTATTTTAACACATAAACAAAACTTTATTTGAATAAAGAATCTATCCATTTGTCGCTGAATCAAAGGCAGCCTTACTATCCCTCACTAAACAACGCACAAAGACATGCTAGCAATTCAGTTCATGGCTTTAACCATAACCAAAATCTACCAATAAATTTTCTTGCCGATACGGTACCTCAATATATCCCAACCCCAATTCCTCTTCTTAAACAACTAAAGTTAAATAATGGTGAATGTTCAGAAGGAATTGCTTCTATTGACACAGTACCACAATCAAATGTCCTTCCAGAAAAAATTGTACAATCTTCTGCTGATGGCATAAAAAAAGTTACCACTAATGATGCCAACAAGAAACAAGCAACGTCGATATCAGAACCTTCTAAAATCAGTCTGCCCTCGGCATCCTCTCGTGTTGCTTCATCAAAATCATCACCAGTGCTGTATACAAATGTAAAAAATGACTCATCGGCTACAAAATCTTCCGGTATTAAGCGAAAGTTAGATGCTAACTGCACCAAAAAACCAGATAAAAAATTAAAAACTGAAACAGCCAGTAGCAAAATGTGTAATAATAACCAAAATGATAAGCAGAAAGTTGTTGAAATTAATGATGGCAGAAATATTGAATGCAGGACCAGAGAACAAAAAGATGAAAAAAATGCTAAAATAGTTGCTTCACAGTCCAAAGAAAAGAAAAATGTTGCTGACATTGGAAATAATGAGCTTAAAGCAGCTGAAGATAGCTGTGGCAAAAAACTCAATGCCAGTATAAATAAAAAAAATAATGAAAATTGTAAAATTAATTTATTGACCAATAAAAAAAACTCTGATGGCAGTCATAAGAAGGGACTTACTGATAAAAAGTTCAATGAAAACAATGATATTAAAAAATCATCTGAAAAACCTCATAATGAAGTACTGTCTTCCAAAAGGCCATCATCTTCAAATAAAAGTAATGTGTCTTCATCAAAGACAGTGTCATCAACCAATAAGAAGTTTTCATCACTGTCATCATCCTCTACCTCATCTTCATCATCATCTTCAACAGCTGAGAAAGCAAAGAAGAATGTTTCACAAGTTTCGTCATCTGCCAGTTTTGATGATAATGATGATGATTTTTCTGATGGTGAACAAGTTGGCAACAACAGGACTACAAGTTGCAAGAACAAAAAAGACAAGACAAAGTTTAATTCATCTAATGATTTATCTTCTAAGGACAAAACTTCAAAATTATCAATGTTATCATCAGATTCAGAGAAAAAATTCAAACATAATAAGAGTAAAGATATAGAACCCGTCAGTGTCAAGAAGAATGATAAAAAAAGGAAAGATGAATCAGGTAATGCTGGAATTCCTGCAAAAATGATTAATGTTGATGAAACTGATGACAATGATAACCCATTGAAGAAGCTTGATTGGAACAAATTGAACAAAATAAACAATGATCCCATCATAAAAACCTGCTTAACTATTCTCCAGCAAGCACTTAATGGAGATACATCAAAAAAAGATCAAAATTCATGTTCCAACAAAAATGTTGCCAGCAATCAAGTTGATGAACAATTTGATGAGGGAGACGCTGACGACAGTGTTGACAGGGACATCATCAAAAACACCACCTACGAAAACGATGCAAATAATAACACCACCACCAGCAACAACAACAACATCAACAATATTATCAACAACATGAACAACAACACTGACCTTCCTGAAGTTTTCGGTAGAAAACGAATTGCTCATTGTAGTGACATTGAACCAAAAAAAGTATGATCTGTCATTGCTAATATAAATGCAAGTGTGCAATTGTTACATGTTTGCATGGATGTATATGTATGTGTGTGTTTGTGTGCGCATGTACATTTATGCCTATGTGTATGTATGCATGTGATTATATTTATATTGCCATGCATTTGACTTTAAGCGTGGGTGTATATTAAGGATACTTTTCTTATATGGTTTCATGAAATTGTTTGCACATTGGGGACACCTCAACATAAATTACTTTGTTAATTTCACCCACATTTGTTGTGAGATACCTTGTTCATGGTGCAATGCGTGTCAAGCCTCTGTTTTTATAATGCAATCTCCATTAACTGTGAACAGCCAGTGAAGCACAAGCTGAGAATTGGTGTCAGACCATCCCCACAACAAATCATGCTTGACAGGATGAAATATTTCTACGACAACAGCTGCACCCTACAAAACAACAACAGCAATAATAATAGTAATAATAATAATAATGAAGATAAATTTAATAGTAGTATTAACAAAGTAGGCAATAATGAAACCAACAAATTTAACAATAATTTAAATAGTTTCAATAGCTCAAATGGTAAGGAAACGACTTCCAACAATCAGGTTTTCAGCAATTTGTTTTTGTGTTGTTAATGTTGATGTGGTTGTTAATGTGTTGTTGAGATGTTTATAATGTTGTTTCTGTGTTTTTGGGGTTATTTATTTGTGAGTAATATGCTTTTAATTTTCTAATGTGATTTTTATATGATGGCTTTTTATTTCTGCTTCAAGTTTCTTTCTGCTTCAATTATAAAACTGATAGTATTGTTTCTTAATGTTGGGATTGCTTATTACATTCCTCATATTAAGTAATTAAAATTGCATCTTTCTCAACACAGGGTGCATCATCCTCTATTAAAACAACATCTGCAACATCATCTTCTATTAAAACATCATCTATTGCAACATCTGCAACTTCTTCTGTTGCAACATTATCATCAAATAGTAGCTCCAGAGTATTAGTAGTGTATGGAGGAGGCGTGAATTCTCCATCACACAACGTCAACAACTTCGCTTTCCACAAGACAAATAACAATTGCATCAAAGCAACAACCACAACAACAGCAGCAACAACAACAGCATCACCTCATCAAAAAATAGAAACGTCAGCGTATTCAGTGGAGCGATCGAATGCAGCAGTCAACAAAGGAGGCCCTGTTTCGTTGAAGGGCTCCATTCGAATTGCTCATAAGCCAACTACTGTCAGTCATGTTTTTCATCATTCTGAGACTTGAATTAATTTATAACTAAATGCTTACCTGGATGAGTGATGTAGTGGTGTAACAGTTAAAGATGCCTAGTTCTGCTCTGCAGTGACCTGGTTTGAATGCAAAAAGATTCTTGTTTATCATAATGCTCTGTGTATGTATGATATGTGGTTTTATGTGGATTTGTGTTTGCTGTCTGAGAGTGTTCTTCTTTGAGATCTCTGAGGCAGTGGCTGTAGGAAAATGATCTTTAAGCAATATTCTTTTGATTGATATGAAAGAGGGTAGGTGATGTGTTTGGAAACATTTTCTTAATTGTTTTGTGTTTTAAATGTTCAAGCAAATGACATTACCTGTTATTTTTGTTTCAGCAGGTAGCCAGCCTCCGACCACCGCCCAATGCAGTTGTGACCAAACAGGCTCTGCCCTACGATCTGAGGCAGAGTGTACTCAACAGTTTCATCGACTACTGCCTGAAGATCTACGATAATGAGACTGATGCTTTTCAAAGGGTTGTTGTTTTTTAATTGTTGATGTTGTTTAGTCGTCGTTGTTGTTGTTGTTGTTGAGTCTTTATCCAGATTTCAGTTTTATTTTGACACATTTCATACGTTGTGTGGTGTAAGATGATCCTGCATTTACAAAGTTAATTACATTCATGTCTGAACTTCATCAAATTTAACTTCATTGCAAATTAACAACAGTATATTGCATCACATTTAATTGATGTCATGTTTGACATAATTTGAAATGAGATTTAGTTGAATCATATGGACGTTATACGTTTTTTGTAACTTTATTTATTGATCAGTTAATTCATGCTGTGTTGTGTTATGTGGATGCGTTATGTTTTACTTTTCAGTGTTGGGCTGCATTATGTTTTGTTGTCTATGTTCTGTTTCTGTCACGTTGTGTCACGTTGCATGATGTTACAATCACGAACCAGGCTCTATCGGAAGAGGAGAAGTTAGCTCGATCGAGCTCCAGCAGGCAGATATACAAATCACATGCTGTCTCGCAGAGAGTTAATCTTTCCAGAGAGTCATCATCTTCTACAGAATGTCCTCAGTTATCACCAAGCACTCCTTCCTTTAAATCCCTCAGTCACGAGTTAGAAATCATAATGATGATATAAATGAGATGTTGTTGATGATGATAAGATGGTGATGAGATGCTGATGATGATTGTTCACTGTTGATAATGGTGGTATTTGTTGTTTGAGAGTTTAAGAGTTTTTTTGCATGATTGATTTGATGGTTTTTTAAAAAGTTTTATGGTGGTCATTGAGAGGATGTTGTTATTTTTTATGGTGTTTGTTTAGGTTAGGATGTGGCGAATTGTGTTGATGAAACTTTAATTATTAAGAATTTTTTGAGGTTATTGTCTATGCTTTCTTCTTAAACGAATACAATAATTTGAATTTAAGCTGTCACATCTTGATCGAATATTAATCACTGGCTTTAAACATAATTTATAATTTTGGTACTTTAATAACAAGACGTTGCATTAAAATCAGTTATGTGTTGGGAGGCAGGTTGGCACAGGAAACTAGCTACTCCATAAACAGGTCCAACAAGAGTCATACAACGCCAATTGTTGTCTCACGTATGTTATCACCCACCATTTTCAATGTCCAGTCACTTTTTTAATGTAGTAAATTGAGACAATTTTATTACTACTATAAATAACCATGCAATCAATCATTCTGTATAAAATGTAATGAATGGTTATGTATTAGCTATTTGTTAAATATTACAATGCTAAGTAGGCTTTAGTGTGTATTTGATGTGGCACCTTTTTCATCAGTAATGTAACAACTAAGTTATATGAGCAAATTTGGTAACTAACTGGTTACTACAAAATTGCATAACTTTCATGCAGCTTGTGAGTTGTACAAACACTTGCAACCTTACATCCTGACTCGTGAACAGTTGCTATCAAATGGCTTCCCAGTTCGAGACGTAGCAGGAAAGAACATTTTAATTGTTCCTAGTGAAAGAACTCTTGTCAAAAAACCATCATTAAACTGTTAGCCGTTTTTGTCGACATTTTGTTATTTCTTAATTATAATTTTTTTTTGTGTAACTTCTACTCATATCACTGACGTTTTTGACAGCCAAGGAAAAGATATGTTGTCGGTGTGGTAAGGGATTCATTGTTTTGAGCAATGGCAATTATCTAACAAACGAAAACTGCTTCTACCATTGGGGACACTCATACAAAAAAAGAGGTACTTCAGTTCAGTGTTTGGTGAATTGTGATGTGTTTCATGTGCCAACATTAAATATTAAATGGGATGTTGTTGTATTATGATGTTTAAACAAACATCATACATACATCCAATACATCAAAATGCATACAATACAACACATACATTTCAATGCTAAATTTAATGTGTGCTGCCGTACATGCATTTAAATGGCATCTGTGTTGTTTGATGTGCTACAAACATTTAAACACTTATTCTTATGTGTGTTTGATGTAGGTACATTTAAACCTTACCCCAAATGTAGTTGCTGGCATGTTGGATCATCAATACATGTGCTGTCAGAGTGACATCTCGGCCAAAGGATGTGAAGTAGCAGAGGTGACTGTCACATATTTTGCTATTTGGCTCCATTGTACTAAGTACCTAACAACCAAAAGTTAAGAAACTTTATTTAGATTACATTTTTAGAATGATATGAATTCTTACTTCCAGTGCCATGTACATGAAGAAAATAAACTTACTGATCTGGCCGGCTATGTTGAAACGACAACCTGCAAGCCAAGAAAAAATGATGATTATGGAGTTTTCGCTCTCGATTGTGAAATGGTCTGTGCTCGAGTTGAAATTTTGATTTTTTTTTGTTTTATTTGTTCTGATATCGTTCTTGTTGCATTTGTATTAATGTTTCTATTATTTTTAATATTATGGTTTCATATGTACGCATCTAAACGTCTCGTCATCAGCACCACCATTGAATCATCATCTACCTACATAAATATCATCCATCTAGGTGTACACAACAGTTGGATGTGAGTTGGCTCGGGTAACCGTTGTCAACCAAGACTTGAAAGCTGTCATAGATGATTTGGTCAAGCCAGATAACAAAGTTGTTGACTATAATTCAAGGTGAAAGATATATATATATGTATTCATCATAATAAACTCTTGCTTATTTCCATCATAATTACCATGAGTGTTCTAAAAATATTTGAAAGTGAATTATCGGGAGCAACCAACACATTTCATTCAATTTTTTCAAATTTCAGATTCAGCGGTATAGATGAAAGAGATTTGGAAAAGGTCACTACATCATTAAGCGATTTGCAAAAGAAACTGCTATCTCTGTTCAACGATAGGACAATACTTATAGGGCACAGTCTGGATAATGACATGATTGCCCTTAAAGTAATTTTGCATATTGTTTTAGCTCATTCATATTCATAGTGTATGTTCAAAGCTTTCATGCTACGTGTGTTGAGGATGTGTTGTAGCTTAAATAAACTAACATAACAGTATAAAATAGCTTTTTTTACGCTGTTATGAAGCTCTAACAGCTGTTTGTGAATACCAGTATTTTCGATAAATTTTTTTAATACTTGAATTTATTTTTATTATCCGTTAAATATTTTCCCGGTTCAGTTAATTCATGGCAAGATTGTGGACACGTCTGTTGTCTTCCCACACAAATCTGGACCTCCTTATAAAAGAGCTCTTCGGAATTTATCAACAGAAATACTAAAAAAGATTATTCAAGATGGCGGTAAGTAGAGTTACCAAATTTTGGGATTTAAACGATTTCTGTTTCAATTTAGTTCCAAATACATTCGTTTGTTATCTTCTTTTTATATTGTTGTAATCAACGGCACTTTGAATTTTCCCTTCATTCCTCAAGTGAATGGACACAATAGCAAAGAAGATGCAGACACATGTATGGAACTCATACTCCACAAAGTTAAAGAAGACATTAAGAAGGCTTCTCGATTTTGTTAATTACTTAAATTATAGTCTTTGGTCATTTTTTTTGTTCTTTAACAATATCATCATTTCTTTGATTTATTGTTTTTATTTAGCATGCATTTTATACTTTATGACGGACAAATTCTATTTATATTATTCCCATGTCTGGTAATAACAAAATATTCACAAATTATGTACTATATCTGTTATATCTTTTTCGGTGATAACATATTAACAAAAATTTATGGAATCTAATAAGCGTTTCATTTCCTACCAATGACTTAGAGTTTGGTCGCAAATTTAGACCCAATTTTTAATTTTTTTTTGAATATCTAATATTGCAGTACAAAGTTTCCTGCATGAACGTGTTTTGACACAGTTTTTGTCCGCTTGATTTCTTAACCTCTGCCGTGTTCTCTTCAGATACTGATTCTGTTGTGGAGTGAGAAAGGCTTTATTGTTATTAAGCGTCATTTTTGTCTATTTTTTGTTTTTTTAGGATACAAATATAGAACATGCTTGTTTTTGTATGATGTTTCCATTTGAGAAAACTCGCGGGACACCGAAGTTCTAGCGATTCGTCGGCTACGCCTCTTATCTGCCTGATGGTTTATGCGGCTTACATTATCAAACTTTAAACCTCTAAATATTCTTCACCCGTGCTACTTTCGACTGTGATTATTGCGCTTTTCCCCCGTTTCGCAATTCATTATTTTTTAGTTTACAAGTTTTTGAACGCACATTTACTCCAACGCTCTATTCATTTTTAGGTGTTATCTCATTTTCCATTTTCAACATACAACACGAATATCGTTGACTGGCGGAACAGTTTAAACAATTTCTTTAACTCCCATAATTTACTTTATAGCCGTCACAAAACTCAGGACGGATTAACCTAATGGAGTGTATGAAATAAACTTAACTTCGGAGAATTGTTAGGGCGTTTAAATAAATTTGAATAGTTTCTGTGAGGTATAATTTTAAAAACCGTTTGGTTTGTAAGATATTAAAAACTTAAGTTTCAAGAAAGGAGCATTACATGCAAAAGCAGATTCACCGTATCTATTCTGTGTTTTTCGTGTGTTAATGGAGATTAGAGCTTCGTACTTTTTAAATGACTGACAACTATGCTGCCTGCTCCAGCTTTGACGCTGTTGGAATTGGCAGATTCCTGAGTTACATTTCTTGGTCATTTTTTTGACAACAGACAAATTTGACGGTATCCGTACTTTTCGGCCTTGATATTCAGTTAAAGTTTGTCAGAAGCAGCCAATGTTATAAAAGCACAAACAAAATCATACAAGAATTGTACGAACGAATCCCGTCACATCAGGGACAACTTTTCTTTGAGATACAACATCTGCAATCACAAAATTGTGGATAATTAATGTTATTTTGTGCTTGAAAAACTAAAAATTTTTCATTCAACATTGACTTCATATCTTCGAAAGAAAGGGATCTTCATCTGTCATCTATCTAGATTTTAAAATACGAATGGCAATTTTAAGTAAACGATTGGAATTAAAAAAAATGGAATGATGCAATTGTTTCTCTGTCAATATATGTCAATAACTATAGTTTAATACTATTTAGTATAATTTAATTTACATGATTTAAATTAGGTTCTGTCGTTGTATAAATAACACAGCCAGAATGATCAAGTGTCGTCAGCGTATTTTATCGATCTGATCTCATAAAAAAGATGTTTTGTTTGAAGAATGGCTGCATTGATTGAATAATATTATGCAACAGATGTTGTTTGCAAAAAAATAGAACGTTTGTCACGAGGTGAACGTAGAGTCAAACGTGTATACATATGTGACTCTTTAATCCTAATTGCCATCAATTTATGAACCGGGAGAAGACAAAATATTACAAAAACAGTAGTTGACGTCTTTTTTATATTTTCACTTTTGACCACACTACGTTTTATTGCTAGATAAAAAGAAATTGATAAGTTAAATAAAATGTGTGTGTTTGGCGTGTGTGTGCAATAACATACAAACATTGAATAAAATATACAATATAGCTGTGTGCCTATATAGT